CTTACGCCAGTAGTGAATTGACAAAGGACTGATGATTACTAATATAAAATCAGATTTTTCCTGATTATGGTTAATACTAAACTCCAGCTCTAACATCACTCCAACCCCAAACGAGCACCATTTGGAGACTTCCGTAAAACGATGGTTTCATCATCATCATCAACTTTTGGCATAAAAAAAACATCCGTACTTAGCGCTAACTCTATTCAACAAAATATAATCTGCTGATGATGTTGCTGCTGCTGCTGCTGCGTTGTTAGTGGTGCACAGGCACAATTAACACACATTCATCAATAACACCGTGGCCTTAAAATGAAATTGCAGTCTTTATAAAATAGACGACGTTTCGGGCAATGACCCTTTGTAGTATATATAGAGAGAGATGGAGTTAATAAGGGTGAATAATTAAGGGTATGAGTCCTGCACGAAACTCCACACGGACCGCTCACCAAAAAAATAATAATAATAAATACCGTGACCTATGGCCTCAACGCGGCTGCATGCGGCTGCATTCGGCAACGTGGCCTCGATGGGAAAAATGAGAACACAAATAAAAGAGAGAGAGAGACACACACGGACGGAGACTTCGCAGCTGAAATGTCACCACCCCACCACCCCCTCCGCACATCGCATTCCGCTCACGAGAATTCGTGTCGGCTCATGCGAACCCCAGCGATTCCTAATCCCATTTCACTTTCCTGTGAATGTGCGCGCGCGTGTCTGTGTGCGTTTGTGCGTGGTGCTGGCCACCCACCCCCTCGTGTGTCACCATGCCGGTCTTTATAGGTGCTGCTACTCGCTGACAGCACTTGCCCCAACAGTCTGCTAAGGCTATACGGGGGATCTTTGTCTTTGGCCATACCACACCTATATGCGCCGTGCCGGCCTAAATAGGTGCTCGTTGACAGCACTTGCCTCCTCAGCCGTGTATATGCTACACGGGGGGTCTTTGTGTGTCTTTGTGTCTGTATCTCTGTGTGTGTGAGCGAACTTTTGCTCGTTGACAGCACTTGAACCTATTGGCGGTACCCCGGCTCTCGCACAATGTCCGTGATGCAGTCATTTTTAGTCTGTTGATGGTCGGCGACGCGGCAATCGACTCATCTCGACGAGCTGTACACGATGCACTATGGAGTGGCACTGATGTCGGATTGATTGGTGCCCCAGTCGCGAAGTTAATTACACCCCTGGAAAAAAAATAGTGTCTCTGAAATAAAACGTTTAATTGCCTCGGGCATTTTGTATTATTTGGTACCCCGGGTTACCGCCATAAGGATCACTTGCCCCAAAGAGTCTGTTCAAGGTATGTGTGTGTGGGGAGCAGGAGCGCAGTGTTTAGCACACTGCGCCACAACCAGCCAACAACACCAGTGACAATGATCTGAATCGCTCCTGGGCCTCCCCTAGGTAGACTCAGCCTCAAATGAGTACCTGGTGCTGTGTGTAAACATCACCACGAGGGAGACAAAGGCGGCCGGGCGTGATGCTGGCGACCCACCCCCTTGTATTGTCGTTCCGGCCTTCATAGGTGCTCGCTAACAGTACTTGCCCCAACAGTATGTTCCAGGCTATACGGGGGATCTTTGTCTTTGTGTGTGGGCATACCTGTGTGCACAGTTAAGCTGTATAGGTGTGCGAGATTTAATCCCGATGGCAATTACTGACCGACTTGTAATTTGTTGAGTTGGTGCTAAGTGTGTGTGCCTGAATGTGTGAGCGAGTGCATGGGGGGGCGGGCGTGGTGCTGGCCACCCACCCATCCCCTCGTGCGCCGCAGTGCCGGCAGCCTTCATAGGGCAGTGCTGCTGCTCGCTCACAGAAACTTGCCCCAACAGTCTGTTGAGGCTATACGGGGCTCTCATTGTCCTGATAGTGGCATTGTCTTTGTGCTTTTCGCCTTTTGGCGTCCTCTGGTCTAACACTGTTTGAGACGTCCTAGTTTTTTGTTATTTTCTTTGAACCTATCTACGTGACTTTACCGAAAGGCCCAAAGAATATCAACCGACGGAGTGAGCGGACTGATGGCCACGGGAGGTAATGGCAGAGGAGTCAGCCTGCAGTACGAATGGACTGGTGGCCACGGGAGGTAATGACATGAGAGTCAGCCTGCAGTGCGAATGGACTGGTGGCCACGGGAGGTAATGACATGAGAGTCAGCCTGCAGTGAGAATGGACTGGTGGCCACGGGAGGTAATGACATGGGAGTCAGCCTGCAGTACGAATGGACTGGTGGCCACGGGAGGTAATGACATGAGAGTCAGCCTGCAGTACGAATGGGCTGGTGGCCACGGGACGTAATGACAGGGGAGTCAGCCTGCAGTACGAATGGACTGGTGGCCACGGAAGGTAATGACAGGGGAGTCAGCCTGCAGTGCGAATGGACTGGTGGCCACGGGAGGTAATGACATGGGAGTCAGCCTGCAGTACGAATGGACTGGTGGCCACGGGACATAATGACAGGGGAGTCAGCCTGCAGTGAGAATGGACTGGTGGCCATGGGAGGTAATGACATGGGAGTCAGCCTGCAGTACGAATGGACTGGTGGCCATGGGAGGTAATGACATGAGAGTCAGCCTGCAGTGCGAATGGACTAGTGGCCACGGGAGGTAATGACATGGGAGTCAGCCTGCAGTACGAATGAACTGGTGGCCACGGGAACGCTCGAGAATAGGAGCATGGCCAGCTCTAGAACCAGCGAGAAGGTTCGGGAATAGGGGCGTGGCCTCACATCGTATATAAGGGATAGATGCAGTGGGGTGTCTCCGCCTGCTCAAGTGTGAGCACGTGGCTCCTTAATGAAATAAACCATCTCAAGACCAGTGCGCCGGAGTCGTCTTTACACCAATACCTGCCATTCGCCACTAAGTGACCGTGACGTCACCACGGCGCCTGTGCCAGGCCAGGTGGACTTTGAAGGCCACGTGAAGCGTCAAAGGCTCGCTGACAGGGGGTCTGGGGAAAGAGCCAGCAGGTGACTGAGAAGACTGGCAGATGCACCAGCCGTGCTCCCTACTGCGCCAACTTTATGCATCTTAGCCGCCCAGCGCTCCGCTCGTTGTTGTGAGCGTCGCTCCCTCAGCCTTCCGTTGTTGCTGGAGGGCGACCGCCTCCAACTGCCCAGTAGCAGCGTCCTTCACGAGGCTCATTCGCACGCGCACACACACACCCGCCCGCACACAAACACAGACACATACACACACGCGCACACACCGGCCCACCCATGCGTTTCCCCTCTGCGGTTTCTGGCCATGGCTCCAGGTGCGGCTCGTGCCGAGCGAGCGAGAGAGCGGAAGGCGGAGTTCGTCTGCTCGTGTGTGTGCATGTCTGCGCGCGTGTCCGTGTGTGTGGGTGGGTACGTGTCTGCAAGTGCGTGTATGTCAGCGTGTGTGTATGTCTGTGCGTATGTACAGTAAGTGTCCCGCCGTTGTATATGGGTACGTGCCTGCGTGTACGTGTGGACCTATGCGCACGTGGGAGTGTGTGTGTGTGTGGGTGCCTTTGTCTTTATGGGTGTGGATATGTGCGCTCGCTTACTGCACTTGCCCCAACAGTCCTCAAAGACCCGTGCGCCTTGGCGGGCGCGCGTTTGTCCGTGCGTTCTAAACTCATCTGTTCAGCCACGCGCGCGTTCCCTCGGGCGCTTAAATTGTGGCGACCTCTCAGACCGCACACCACGGATCACCACCACCACCATCACCACCACCACCACCACCATCATCACCACCATCATCACCACCACCGCTTTTCACTTCGTTCTTCCCTCCAACTTTAGATCCAACAATCAAGTCTCCAAGCGTCAAACTCCGCTCACAGCAACAGTCCGGCTGTGCTCGAGTCTGCGCGCCGAGCAATTGACGCGTTAATTTGTTATTAATCAGCCTGGTAACCCCCGATAACGGTCTCAACGACCTCACGAGTAACAAACCATTTTACCGAACCTCCACTTTTTAGTTGCTACGCAGGAACCGAGCGAAATCATAATTGTCATCATCGTCACCATCGTCACCATCGCCACCCCATCGCTCACTCCACCACCGCACGTCACGGTAACTTGCAACCCAAGCAGCTTCGCCACGCACGAGCTCTCCTCTCGATTATTTTTGCTCCCATTTCTATTCGCTTCATCGTTGACATCGGGGGGGGGGGGGGGGAATTTTCTGCAGCGAGGCGCCCTCCAGCACCCAACGCGGCCAACCGACTGAGATTGTCGCGTTGTGCGAAAGCTTCTTCACGAAGCGAACGCTTATGGTGGTTTTGGCTCACCCAGTGGGCTCCACAGAGGTCAACGTTAACGAACTAAACACGAAACTATTTTATCTTATCAGGTGTAAGGCTCACTGGGCTGGGTAGCTCTTATTCAGAAGCGACCTGCCTCTCACAAATGATAGCTCAACCAAGTGGCTGATCATCGCGTGGACATTTACAGCAGCCAAATGCTTTAAGGGCGCGTTTTTAAATGGAGGGAAAATCCGGAGGACCCGGGAGAAAAATCCACACAACCACGGGGAGAACAAGCAAACTCCAAATATACAGCAGGTGTCAGAGGGGTCGGGATCGAACCTACGGCCTCTTGTACACCAGGCGAGGTAGTCAACATCTCACCACAGCGGTGAGATGTCAACATCTCACCACAGCGGTGAGATGTTGACACCCTCACGCCAAAGTGAACAAAAGCAGAGACAAGGGCGATGCAGCACCGCATGCCGCTCAATCGGGACACGCGCAGGACACCTCATCGTGCCCCCGCTGCGAAAACTTCACGCGACCCTCTTGGAGAGGAGTCTTGAGACTCTGCGACACCTTTCCTGGGCGAATAAGGGCGACGACACTCATGACAAATCGTGTTCCCGACAGCGGCCGAGGTGACAATGACCGCGTGCTGCGCCACGGAGCACGACTCGGGTTGTCCATCCTACGTCTGGGACACACGCTGCGCTACGACGCTCTCGCTATTACTATCATCGTCGTCGTCGTCGTCGATTTCCGCGAGTGGTGCTCACCTCTGGAGTGGTTCGCCGGCGCCTTGAAGCAGGGCGGCGCCCCGGTGCGCCCGCACGAAACCACGCACGAGCCTGCCGCGCCACTGCCACTGCCGCCCGCGGCACCGCCACCACCACCACCACCGCCACCGCGCTCCGCGCGCAGCGCCGCGCCATGCAGCTCGCCGCTCCGCTCCAGCGCTGCCTCAGCCTGCGGCCCCGGGAGGGCGCTGGGACCACCGCGCGTCACAACTCCGCGTTACAACGTGGTGGTGCCGTGGTGGTGGTGCCGTGGTGGTGGTGCCGTGGTGGTGGTGCCTTGGTGGTGGTGCCGTGGTGGTGGTGGTAGTGGTGCCGTGGTGGTGGCGGTAGTGGTGCCGTGGTGGTAGTGCCGTGGTGGTGGTGCCCGTGGTGGTGCCGTGGTGGTGGTGCCGTGGTGGTGGTGCCTTGGTGGTGGTGCCGTGGTGGTGGTGGTAGTGGTGCCGTGGTGGTAGTGCCGTGGTGGTGGTGCCCGTGGTGGTGCCGTCGTGGTACCGTGATGGTGCCGTGGTGGTGCAGTGGTGGTGGTGGTAGTGGTGCCCTGGTGGTGCAGTGATGGTGGTGGTTCAGTGTTGGTGGTGGCGCCCGTGCCCTGCTCACCTGGGTGAGCGTCTGACGGCCTCAAGCGTGTCCTTCAGCGAGCGGTTCTCCTCCGTGATGGCGTTCCTCTCGTTAACTGCGCACGGCCCGGGCAGAAACGACCAGGAGGCAAAAATCGTGCACACGCAGGGATCCCCCCGAACGCTTACTGGGAATGATTTAGTCGTCTCCAAAAAATGTATCAACACATTCGTCGACTACACTGTGCGGCCTTAACAGAAACAAATCTATAAAGAGGCCAACGCATATCAGGCAATGGGCCATGTCTGCGCTATGAGGAAGGGCCAATGGCCAAAACGTCACCGATAACTGATGCTTCCTTTTAAGGCCACGTGTACACAGGTGTTGTTGACGGAGTGTGTCGAGTTTGCTTTTCTGAATCATCGGACACAAACCGTCGGAAGCTCGGACGCGAAGCAACAGACGACGACAACGACGACAACGATGAGCCGAGAGATTTGTAACGCAGCCATAATGCAAGGGATGCGGTTTGGCGCGGCTCGGAAGCGGGAGAGGGAATGGAAGCGGCTGGGCAAGAAAGGAGAGAAAATTAAAGATCGAAACGATCTCCCTACGAACGATGGGCCACTAACACGCCTCACATCTCATCTCAACGCATTTTATAGGGCAACCCCCCCCCCCCAGCGGCAGCTGTCCCTACGTGGCACAATGTCACTCAGCACCCAGCCTGCACAGACATTCATTTGCCAGTAGGGGGGATGATTGCATCGTGGCTATGGTGGTGACGGTTGTGATGATGGTTATGGTGGTGGCCAATAATGCTTTTGGTGGTGGTTGCGATGACGGCTATGGTAGTGGTGATGATTATGGTTATGGTGGCAATGATGGTTTTGGTGGTGGTTGTGACGATGGCTATGGTGGTGGTGGTTGCGATTTGATGATGGCTATGGTGACGGTTGTGACGATGGCTATGGCGGTGGTGGTGGTGTGGTGTGCGCTGCACGCACTGAGCTCCGTGATGAGCTTGAGGTTCTGCTGCCGGACGCTCTCGAACTCCACCTGCTTGCGCCGCATGTGCTCCTCCGTCACGATGCAGCGATCGCACACGCCGGCGCGGAGCCTGCCGGAGACGCGGGGTTCAGTGGGCGGGGGTCTCGCGAGCAGGTAGGCGGGGCTAACGACGGTGGGCGGGGTCACATCTATGGTGTCACCAGACACATCACGCTAGGCGTGGCTTGTCGGGGGTTTCCCACCTTCGGGAGGCAGTTTGTTGGGGGCATCCAATTTTTAAAATGGGGGCCTGAGTAATGGACCAAACCAAAGTATCGATTCCAATTTTCAGTCGATTCGTCGACTTAACGGTACCAGTGCTGCTCAAGTCCTCCTCCTTCCTCACCTGTCCTCCAGCACCTTGATGTTCTCATTGAGAAGCTTCTGCTGCTCCCTCAGCTGCTGATTGGCAGTGAACACCTTCTCCAGCCTGAGTGAACACGCACGCACGGCACCGTTCATTGAGTGGACGGGCAAAGATCTCGTAGCCCCTCGTTCACTCAGCACCCGGCCTGCACAGACATTCATTTGCCAGTAGGGGGGGGGGATGATTGCATCGTGGCTATGGTGGTGACGGTTGTGGTGGTGGGTGTGACGATGGGTATGGTCGTGGTGGTTGTGATTTGATGATGGGGCTCCATGCTGCCCGGTGTTATGGTCCAAATATACTCAATTATTATTATCACTACGACGATTATTTATTAGCGTGCGAGCGCTAGCGCTCGCACGCTAGCATGCGAGCGCTAGCGTGCGGGCGCTAGCGTGCGAGCGCTAGCGTGCGAGCGCGTGTGGTGCTAGCTTGCGGGCGCTAGCGTGCGGCGCTAGCGTGCGGCGCTAGCGTGCGAGCGCGTGTGGTGCTAGCTTGCAGGCGCTAGCGTGCGGCGCTAGCGTGCGGCGCTAGCGTGCGGCGCTAGCGTGCGGGCGCTAGCGTGCGAGCGCGTGTGGTGCTAGCTTGCAGGCACTAGCGTGCGGGCGCTAACGTGCGAGCCCTAGCGTGCGAGCGCGTGCAGTGCTAGCTTACGGGCGCTAGCGTGCGAGCGCTAGCGTGCGAGCGCGTGTGGTGCTAGCTTGCAGGCGCTAGCGTGCGAGCGCGTGTGGTGCTAGCTTACGGGCACTAGCGTGCGAGCGCTAACGTGCGACGCTAACGTGCGAGCGCGTGTGGTGCTAGCTTACGGGCACTAGCGTGCGAGCGCTAACGTGCGGCGCTAACGTGCGGGCGTGTGTGGTGCTAGCTTACGGGCACTAGCGTGCGAGCGCTAACGTGCGGTGCTAACGTGCGGGCGCGTGTGGTGCTAGCTTACGGGCACTAGCGTGCGAGCGCTAACGTGCGGCGCTAACGTGCGAGCGCGTGTGGTGCTAGCTTACGGGCACTAGCGTGCGAGCGCTAACGTGCGGCGCTAACGTGCGGGCGTGTGTGGTGCTAGCTTACGGGCGCTAGCGTGCGGCGCTAGCGTGCGGCACGAGCATGCAAGCACTAGCATTCAGCGCTAGCTTGCGGGCGCTAGCGTGCGGATCTAGCGTGCGGGCGCTAGCTTGTGGGCACTAGCGTACGGGTACTAGCATGCGGGTACTAGCGTGCGGGCGCTAGCTTGTGGGCGCTAGCGTGCGGGCGCTAGCATTCAGTGGTTAGACCCCTGCCCCAGGGCCTAACCACGGGTGGGTGCCAAGACGCCGGTGGTGTCGGAGACTCTTACTCTCGTTCAGCCGCGGGTGTTACCGTGGCTGAACGTGGCGTGCATCATAACATGACAACGTCATGCTGGCAGCATTGCAAATCGTTGCGTCGTTCATCCAGGGGACACTTCACGCGCCGCTCGCCACCGCGGAATTCCAAAGGACTGAGCAATGGGCGGGAGGCGGAGGCGGAGGCGGTGATGATGATGTGATGTCTGTAGGAGCCTCTAAGCTCAGGGCAATGCCAATGGCATAAGTCACTTCCGAGACGCAGAGACTGTAATAAACCGCCTGGCTATGGCAGCGCAACGGTTTGAAGCACACGAGACCGACCCCACCTTCCTCACCCCGTATGGCGTTAACAGGCTCTTGGGACAAGTGCTGTGAGCGAGTAGCACTTCTGAAGGTCGGGACGGAATACCAGGGGGGGGGTGGGGGTGGGGGTGGCCAGCACCACGCCTGGACGCCTTTGCCTCTCACCATACCAAGTACTCATTTAAGACCGAGTCGACCTAGGGGAGGCCCAGCACCGGTTTAGATGTCTCCTCACGTGTACCGGCCATGCACCACAATCGAACATGGTTTCGAACGGCGCGCCAACCACTACGCCACCGCTCCCCACATACATACAAAGATAAAGGTTCCCCGTATAGCCTTAGCAAAGACAAACATCCTCCTTATAGCCCTTAATAGACTGATGGGGGCAAGTTCCGTTTGTCTATGTGGCCAACAACGGTGAACGATGCGATCCCCATTTTCAATAAGTGGGGGTCGTGTCCAGCACGCTTCCCTGGTGGTCGTGTGAACGCCGCAGTTGGACTCGCAAACCTGTCAACCCCTTATCAGTGTCTACCTTATTCATACCTGTCAACTCCTTATCAGTGTCTACCTCATTCATACCTGTCAACCCCTTATCAGTGACTACCTTATTCATACCTGTCAACCCCTTATCAGTGACTACCTCATTCATACCTGTCAACTCTTATCAGTGACTACCTTATTCATACCTGTCAACCCCTTATCAGTGACTACCTTATTCATACCTGTCAACCCCTTATCAGTGACTACCTCATTCATACCTGTCAACCTCTTATCAGTGACTACCTCATTCATACCTGTCAACCCCTTATCAGTGACTACCTTATTCATACCTGTCAACCCCTTATCAGTGACTACCTTATTCATACCTGTCAACCCCTTATCAGTGTCTACCTTATTCATACCTGTCAACCCCTTGTCAGTATCTACCTCATTCATACCTGTCAACCCCTTATCAGTGACTACCTTATTCATACCTGTCAACCCCCTATCAGTGACTACCTCATTCATACCTGTCAACCCATTATCAGTGACTACCTCATTCAGACCTGTCAACTCCTTATCAATGACTACCTTATTCATACCTGTCAACCCCTTATCGGTGCCCTACCTTATTACTGACCAATTTAGACTTTATTGGTCACCCCGTGCCTTTATAAATATCAGCGTTTATCCAACGAAGTCCCATCACAAGGGAGAAACACAAACAAATAGACATTTGATTTTTTGTGCCCATATTGAAACGGCTGTACGCCGTATGGACCTGAAAACTCAATTTCCCTGTACAAGAACGCGGGGTAATAAACCGTGTGGGTTGACAGCTGCGGCCCGACTCTCTCGAGAGATTAAGTCAACAGTGGCTTGCCCAGTGGCTTGCCCAGTGCCTTGCCCAGTGGCTTGTCCAGTGGCTTGCCCAGTGGCCTGCCCAGTGGCCTGCCCAGTGGCTTGCCCAGTGGCCTGCCCAGTGGCTTGCCCAGTGCCTCGCCCAGTGGCTTGCCCAGTGGCTTGCCCAGTGGCCTGCCCAGTGCCTTGCCCAGTGGCCTGCCCAGTGGCCTGCCCAGTGCCTTGCCCAGTGGCCTGCCCAGTGGCTTGCCCAGTGCCTTGCCCAGTGGCTTGCCCAGTGCCTTGCCCAGTGGCCTGCCCAGTGGCCTGCCCAGTGTCTTGCCCAGTGCATTGCCCAGTGCCTTGCCCAGTGCCTTGCCCAGTGGCCTGCCCAGTGCCTTGCCCACCCAGCGCTCAGCAAGTGGCGCTCAGCAAGTGGCACTCGGTGTCGCGTAGAACAAACACGAGATCACCCCCCCCCCCCCCCCCAAGAGGGGAGAGACGCAGAGAGGTATGTCCCGACCGATCAGAGCCACCAAACAAAGGTTTTCTTTTTTTAAGGCCCCCCCCGCCAACCACCCCCCCCCCCTACGGAATGCGATTTGCTGAGAGCTTCGTAAGCCGATATGAGTGGGGGTGGTGGGGGTTGTTGGAGATGATGAAGAAGAAAGGGGCTTTCTGTGTCCTTTATTGAATGTGCCGAGTCACTTTTTAGATTTGTGGTGGAGTGGGGAAGCTCTCCACCCTACCACTCTTACGACTCGACTCGCGCACATACGGACGGCCGGACACGCAAGCCACTCACCTGTAGATACACACACACACACCTGTAGATACACACACACCTGTAGATACACACACACACCTGTAGATACACACACACACACCTGTAGATACACACACACCTGTAGATACACACACACACACACACCTGTAGATACACACACACACACACACACCTGTAGATACACACACACACCTGTAGATACACACACACACCTGTAGATACACATACACACACACACACCTGTAGATACACACACACCTGTAGATACACATACACACACACCTGTAGATACACATACACACACACACCTGTAGATACACATACACACCTGTAGATACACACACACACCTGTAGATACACATACACACACACACCTGTAGATACACACACACCTGTAGATACACACACACCTGTAGATACACATACACACACACCTGTAGATACACATACACACACACACCTGTAGATACACATACACACACACACCTGTAGATACACATACACACACACCTGTAGATACACATACACACACACCTGTAGATACACATACACCTGTAGATACACATACACACACACCTGTAGATACACACACATACACACCTGTAGATACACACACACCTGTAGATACACACACACACACCTGTAGATACACACACACCCCTGTAGATACACAAACACACCTGTAGATACACACACACACCTGTAGATACACACACACACCTGTAGATACACACACACACCTGTAGATACACACACACACCTGTAGATACACACACACCTGTAGATACATACACACCTGTAGACACACACACACCTGTAGATACACACACGCACCTGTAGATACACACGTACACCTGTAGATACACACACGCACCTGTAGATACACACGTACACCTGTAGATACACACACACCTGTAGATGCACACACACACACCTGTAGATACACACACACACCTGTAGATACACACACACCTGTAGATACACACACGCACACCTGTAGACACACACACACCTGTAGACACACACACACACCTGTAGATACACACACACCTGTAGACACACACACACACACACACCTGTAGATACACACACGCACACCTGTAGACACACACACACACTGTAGACACACACACTGTAGGGGCAAGTGCTGTGAGCGAGCACCTATAAAGGCCGGCACGGCACACTAGTAGGTTGGTGGCCAACACCACGCCCGACCGCCTTTGTCTCCCTAGTGGCGATGTTTACACACCTCACCAGGTACTCGTTTGAGGCTGAGTCGACCTAGGAGAGGCCCAGGACTGATTCAGATAATTGTCACTGCTGATGTTGGCCGTGAGCGGGAATCAAACTCGGGCGGCTGGGTTCGTAGCGCAGCGCGCTAACAGCTACACCACCCCTCCCCCTAGACACGCACACCTGTAGACACCCAACTCACCTGGAGACACACACAACGGCACACATGGACACGTGCGCGCCACCACCACATTTCATCGAGGGACTTTTTTTTCCTATCACCAAAGGCCCCGCAAGTGGCACTGCCGACAGCCCGTCGCCGGAACGGCCGCCACCACGCCGCGGGTTATTTTGAAAGGCGCGTTCCACGCGGCAGCGCAACGAGTTGCCAACTCGTGACAAGCACGTGGCCCGGAGCCCCCTTTGGTTGGCGCAATCGGCTCCGTCGGTCAACGGCGCTCGGGGGAGAGAGGCGTGGGCTCGGAATTGCCATTGAGAGACGGAGGAGGAGGAGCAAACGTTGACGACAGAGAAGACGAGTCAGATCGATAGTGACGTCATTGCAAGGGTTAAGAAACGTGAGCGGGGCTCGGGCCGGAAGCGTCACGGCCAGAAGGGATGATGGACGGTATATATATGTGTGTGTGCGTGTGTGTGTTGGAACTTCTTTCGCACCGTACGTAGCCAACCGTGCTAAACCTGAGGTGCGGAGGCGGTCGAGACTATCGATGGAGCGTCAGCCAAAGGAGGCGACGCGACCTAGGGGACGTTCACAGTGGAGATGGAGCGATGAAAACGGATGGCGTGGAGGTTCTGGGCATTTCCATCGCATCAAAGAGACGAGGTACGGCTTGTGGAGGGCCTTCATCCACGGCTGGTGGTGGTGGTGGTGATGAAGATGAATCCACGTACGACTCGTGTGAATCAACTGGCGGAGTTTGTAGGGACGTGGACGGGGTTCTCGCGACACGCTACTCACATGCACCGTTCCTGCTTCAGCTTGGACAGCTGCTGCGTGAGCCCTGCGAGGCGCAGAGCGAGAGGGTCACGGGGAGAGCAGAGGCGGTGGTTATAATCATCATCATCATCATCATCCTAGCGCTGACGACGACAACGATGATGATAGCATTGACGATGCTATCGATGGTGATGATGATGGCAGTATTGATAATGTCAGTATTGATGATGATGATGATATTGATGACAGAATTGATGATGCGAGTGTTGACGACGATAGCATTGATGACGATGGCGACAACGATGATGACGACAGATGACGATGACAGTTGCGACGCCGATTATATGATTACCGTACAGATGGTGACAGTGACGACGCCACACCAGGCGATGACAACGATGACGGTAACCGTGACTGCGACAGCACAGCTGGGATACGATGATAACGACGACGATGATAACGACGACGATGATAACGACGACGATGATGATAACGACGACCCCTACCTTGCACCTCCCTCTCGTGCGCGTCCAGCAGCCGCCGCAGGACCTCGCTGAAGCTCTCTCCCGCCGCCGCAGGGGCGGCCCCCCTCTCCCTGTCGGCCGCGCCGAGGCCCCCCGCCAGCAGGGGGTGGCCCCCCGCCGGGTGGGCCCCGGCGGGCCCCGCCCCGGAGGCCAGCGTGCCGCCCTGGCCCCCGTGCCCGCGCGAGCTCCCGTTGAGCGCCCGCGCGCCCACGGGAACGCTGCTCGAGCGTGAGAGGGCGGCGTGCGCCACGGAGGCGCGAGACTCCGACATGACGGCGACGACGGCGGCGACGACGACGAGCGAGCGGGGAGGGCGGGCGTGCACGTGTCCACCTCCTCCACCACCTCCTCCACCACCACCTCTACCGCCTCCTCCACCACCACTGCCGCACGGCGCGTGCGTCCGCTGGGAAAAACAAACAGCAGCAGCAGCAGAGTTGGTGCAGTCAGCATGGCGAGACCGCGATTGCGACACGTTTGCGGAGGCCTTCATCCAGCAGTGGATAGATGCTGCTGCTGCTGATGGTGTAAGAGGCAGTCATAACCGGACAGGGCTGAGTGGGTATGGGCGCCAGGTGAGTGCCTCCAGACCCCAGTGGAACGAGACGGCAGCTATGTGCTTCTGAGTCACTACCTGGCGGGCACACATTTCTCCATGACGTCTTCCAAATTAATTCCCCAAACATTCCGCTTGCGGAGGGAGACGCGAGCTCACGTAAGGGCCCGTTTGTCACTCCACAGCTGGATGAAGGCCTCCCCACCCCGTGTCGATCATGGAGGATTGTTTTACCAAACTTCACCACGCTGGTCAGCGTAGCATTTGAAGTAGGGGCTGGGGAGTGGGGTAAAGGAGAGACCCAGGACACAAGGACAAGTTCATATATCACTCGCCACTGATGTTAGCCGTGACGAGAAATTGAACTCGGGTACGATGGGCCCAAAGCGTAGCGTGCTCACCGCTGTGACACCACTCTCAACCCAATTTCATACTATCACAACATGCCAAGCCTCCCCGCAACATTAAGGGAACTGCCAGGTTCTTAAATCGACGGTGGTCATCGACCAGCAAAAAAATTCAGTGACCCTCCACGCGACATCCAGTACGCCCCTCGCTATATAGGTCGTGGCCACTAAGGTCATTTTCTACCGGCGAAATATTCGGTGATAATTTTTTTGCCGGGCGGCAAATGGTGGCTACGCTGCACGTGGCCTGTAGCAGCGAGGGTTGGCGGATAGTCGCACACACGTCGCGAAAAAACCCTTCCCGTGGACGTCGAGGAGGTGGCCGTACCCTGGCTCGCCAGGAGAAGGCGGTACAGCGAGTGAACTGATCGCCACCGGTTTATTCCATCTGTACGGGGGGGATAGAGCATTGCCCCCTCGCGCAAGGCGTGGGTTTTATCAGGGCCCTGCGGTTTCCACCCCACCTTGCATAATAAACACAACTCATCATTCATCGGCTTGAAAACGTCTTTGTAAAATAAAAACACGTTTATAAAAGCACAACGCAGCGGCAGGACGCTCCTGAAAAATGGGCCCAAAGACTCCGCGTGGCTTTCGTGGATGAATAAGTGAAGCGTGCGTATAATGCATGATTATCGTTATTATTAAATTATTATCTGGTGAGAATTTAAGCCCTGGGCATTCTGCTGCGAAACTGTTATCCGGTAACCTGGGCGCCACGCGTGTTGTGCCAGAAACCGGTTTCACCCGGCCCGGGCTGGGCCCTGCGCCGTGACGCCACGGCGCACGCTGCGTCCTCACGGCGCGTCCCAGTACCGAGACGTCGCGACACCTGGGTGGTGCTGCTGCTGCTGCTCGTGGTGGTGGTGGTGGTGGTGTGAGCGGTGGTGCTGCTGCTGCTGCTGCTCGTGGTGATGGTGGTGGGAGCGATGGTGCTGCTGCTGCTGCTCGTGGTGGTGGTGGTGGGAGCGGTGGTGCTGCTGCTGCTCGTGGTGGTGGGAGCGGTGGTGCTGCTGCTGCTCGTGGTGGTGGTGGTGGGAGCGGTGGTGGTGGGAGCGGTGGTGCTGCTGCTGCTGCTCGTGGTGGTGGGAGCGGTGGTGCGGCGGTTAGCGCTACGCTGCGCTACGAACCCGGCGACCCGAGTTCGATTTCCGCTCGCGGCTGCCAACATTGGTGACAATTATCTGAACCGGTCCTGGGGTCTCCACTAGGTCAGCTCAGCCTCAAATGAGTACCCGGTGCGGTGTGTAAACATCGCCACTGGGGAGACAAAGGCGGTCGGGCGTGGTGCTGGCCAACCACCCCCTCGTGTGACGTGCCGACCTTCATGAGGCGCTCACTAATAGCACTTTCCCCAACAGTCTGTTGAGGCTACACGGGGGATCTCTGACTTTGGTGGGCAGAGCCAAGCTCCCAGTGCAAGCGAGATGCTATCCCCCATAACTCATCACCCCACCCCCCCCTCCAACACCTAACCGACTAGCCTTCAGCCAGACACTGCAAGCTTGATATTAGCTATATCCCTAACCATAACTAACTAACCAATCAGCAAGAAATTCTACCCCGAACCAACTAGCCAATCGGACACAAGTGCCAGCTGTACCCCTAACCAACGAGGCAGCCACGCGCAACAATGAGGCCTCCCACCACTCAGGGCTGCCCTCACCTGTCCACCCCTCACGCTCCTCACGTCGCCGTCAGCGTTGTGGCGTTCGCGGCGCCCTCTGCTGTCGCCGCCTGCCAAAGAGCCGCGTGACACCGCTGGCAAGAGGCACGTGCCCCACCACTGAAGTGACGCCACGGTGCCCAATGCAAAATGAAGCTCGTCGAATTTATTGCGACGGACGTGGGTTGGGGGGGGGGATGTAACCCATCGTCATCACAATCCATGGGGGAAGATAGTTCGTAGTAGGTGTCCACTGCACGTTTCGTCAATTTGTTTCCACTATCCTCTCTGTCCTGTGGCAATGTGCTCAGGTAGTGTGCTTACATCAGCTGTGTTGAAGTTCCACACTGCGCTGGTCGCAACGACACACATCACCCACCTACTCACCCACCTACTCACCTACCCACTCAATCACCGACTCGCCCACCTACTCACCCAATCACCCACACACCTACTCACCTACCCACTCAATCAATCACCTACTCACCCACTCGCCGACCCACTCGCCCATCCACTCAACCACACTGCAACCTCAGTTCTCTCTCCGCTTCTTTCCTCGCACTGCTCAACCTTTGGTGAAGTTCCTTCCCCACCACCACCATCATCATCATCGTCGTCTCTTTCCCCCCCAACTCTTCCTATAATAGCATCGCGCTCAGCTCAAGACCACGTGTCCAGGCGTAGTATATATCGGAGCGACGTGAATTGTTCCGCATTTTATCGGGTTCTCCCGATCGGTAACCGGTAATACAAAACAATCACCCTATCCCTCCACCCCCAAAGACAAATTTCCCCCGTATAGCCTTAACAGACTGGTGGGGGCAAGTGGTCTGAGCGAGCACCTACGTCGGCCGGCCCGGCACACGAGGAGGTGGGTGGCCAGCACCACGCCCGGCCGCCTTTGTCTCCTTCGTGGCGATGTTTACTACACACCGCACCAGGTACTCATTTGAGGCTGAGTCGACCTAAGGGAGGCCCAGGACCCGTTCAAATAATCGTCACCCTAAGCGACCCCCCCCCCCCATCCCTCCCAAACTCGTTCCTCTTCCCCACAAACTGGCTATGCTAAGCACGCCTATTTGTGTTTGGTGTTGACTATTGTGATTACACTCACCCATGTGCGATTGGAATGGATCTACAACACACACACGCGCACACAAAGGTAACACCCCCCACCCCCATGTGCACACACACAAAGACAAAGACCCCCCCCCCACTCCATATAGTCTTTAACAGAATGTTGGGACAAGTACTGCTAGCGAACACCTAAAAGTGCAGCACACGCATCGGGTGGCCAGCACCACACTCGGCCGCCTTTGTCTCCCCAATGTTGATGTTAACACAACAGCGCCGAGTACACTCAAGGCTGAGTCTACGGGTTCGTAGCGCAGTGCGCTAACCACTGTCACACGACTCGACACTTATACGCGCACTATCACATAGATGCGCGCTCACATACACCACTTTGTAGCTGTATGGAGAGCGGTGGTGCAATAGTTAGCACACTGCACTACAAACTCGCGTATCTGGGTTCAATTCCCAGTCACGTCTAACCACAGACGCAGGTTCTATCTGAATCGTTGCTGGGCCCTCCCCTAGATTGACTCAGCCTCAAATGAGTATCTGGTGCAATGTGCTAACATCAGCACTGGGCAGATAATAGACAGTTTTGTCGTGGTGTTTACTACACCACCCCATCGAGCGACATCACGGCACTTGACCCCACCAGTCTGTGTAGGCTACACGGGGGATCTTTGTCTTTGTGTGCCCGTGCGTTGGGTGTATGCGTGAAAGCCACGTGCGCGTGAGCTAATAGCATTGGGAATTAAGAAAACAAGATAAAGATGACCCCCGTATAGCTTTTAATAGATTCTTGGGGCAAGTGCTGTTAGCGAGCACATTTATGAAGGCCGGGACGGCCAGCACCACGCCGGGCCGTCTTTGTCTCCCCAGTGCTGATGTTTACAAACCACACCAGGTAATCATTTAAGGCTGAGTCGACCTAGGGAATGGTCCAATACGGTTTCAGATATCGCTCGTCACTGTTGTGAGCCGTGGCCTGGAATCGAACTCGTAACGCGATGCGCTAACCGATGCGCCACCGCTCCCCACACACAGGCATAACAACACAACACACACACACGAACAACCCGTTTGTCAATCCACTGCTGGATGAGGACATCTCCTTACTGTGCAGGCCGTGGAGGGTAGTTTGACCACACTCCATACCTGTCCACCCACATTGGTTTACCCCGTATTCTTGTGCAGGGAAACTGAGTTCAGGTCCATACGGGCAAAACAGTATTTGTTTGTGTTTCTCCCTTGTGATGAGACTTTGTAGAATGAGCGTTGAGATTTAAAAGGGTCACGGGATGACCAATAAGGTCTGAATTGTTTGGTCTGTAATAAGGTAGGGCAATGATAAGGGGTTGACAGGTATGAGACTACACGCTGGTCAAGAGCGAGTTAATGAAGGGGTGTGTGAAGGGCTGGTTTTGAACAATAATACATCGCAGTAATTTCTGCACTGCCCTCTACTGCCCACACTACCTACTGCACTTGTTTATTTTCCCGTGCCCAGTGCTCACCCTAACCAGGCACTTATCCAGGCTCAGACCTGCTGAGCTTCTCAAGTCTAACGAGACAGGACGATTTGGTCACAGACAAATCACATTGGTACACGTACCGCACATACACGTGGACAAAATACAAATACCCCCCACAGGTACACATTTAAGGCCGAGTCGACCTAGGGGAGGCCCAGGACCGGTTCAGATAATCGTCACTGGGGGTTGGCCATGAGCGGGAATCGAACTCGGGTTGCCGGGTTCATAGCGCAACGCGCTAACCGCTACACACATGCAAAAACAATCAAAAGTAGATTAAATTAAGACCCCCCCCCCCATCCCAGCAAATGTATGGGGGGGGGGGGGGGGCTACATTGAAGCCACATCGCCAATGCAGCCTCGAGTCGCTGCGTCCTCCTGACTGCCTGAAACGCCGGAGTGGTGAACGTGCCACGGCTCCCACGAGCGAGGAGGTGGAGGTTGTGGAGGTCGTTGTCTCGACACGCGGTCGTGTCGAGACACGCGCGCCCGCGTGTTTGCCATAGCTCAGAGCCGCGTCCGTCTCTGCGGCCCACGGATTCACCCAAAAAAAAAAAACGGAACAAAGCGAGCCGAGCCACCGCCATTGTACAGAGAGCCGCACAGATAGTCCCGGGTCAAGTTCTGTTTGCGAGCACCTATTGTTATTGTTATCACGACGGCGCACGAGATGTGGAGGGTGGGGGGTCCAGCAACCACGCCACGCTCGCTCGCTCGCTCGCACGATCTCCCCCGCCTTTGTCTTCCCCAGTGCTGATGTGCTTTGCGTCGCATTCAAGGCCGAGTCGACCTAATGGAGAGATATGCCTTTTGATTTAGTATGTATTTGTGTATGTATGTGTGTGTATGTATTTGTGTATGTATGTGTGTATGTATGTGTGTATGTATGTATGTGTGTATGTATGTGTGTGTATGTGTATGTATGTGTATGTATGTGTGTGTATGTGTATGTATGTGTATGTATGTGTGTGTATGTGTATGTATGTGTGTGTATGTATGTGTATATATGTGTGTATGTGTATGTGTGCGTGTATGTGTGTGTATGTGTGTATGTGTGTATGTATGTGAATGTGTATAATGTGTATGTATGTGTGTGTATGTATATGTGTGTGTGTGTATGTGTGGAGGAGGCTCGTGAAGGACGCTACTGGGCAGTTGGAGGCAGTCGCCCTCCAACAACAACGGAGGGCGGAGGAGCGACGCTCACAACAACGGACGGAGCGCCGGGTGGCTAAAGCACAGCAGGTTGGCACAGTAGGGGGCACAGGTGGTGCATCAGCCAGTCATCTCAGTCAGTCGACCCGTGGCACCTGGGTCTGCGCCGTGACCTCCTGCCAGCGGGCGTTCGACACTTCACGTGGCCTCAAGGTGCACATGGCCTGGCACAAGCGTCGTGGTGACGTCACCGCCACTTAGTGGCGAATGGCGGTTGTTGTTGTGTGTGTGAGTCTGTATGTGTGTGATGCTATGGCTACTCGCTAACAGCACGTGCCCCAACAGTCTCGGCGTGTGCTATGTCCCTGTGTTGTCTCTGGGTGACAGGAGCGGTAGGTTGTCTCGGCCTCTTGGGTGTTCGCTAACATCGCCACTGGGGAGACAAAGGCGGCCGGGCGTGGTGTTAGCCACCCAACCCCCTTGGCGTGCCGTCTCGGCCTTAATAGGTGCTCGCTAACAGCACTTGCCCCAACAGTTTAACGCTATGGGGGGTATTCGTATTTTGTCCACGTGTATGTGCGGTACGTGTACCAACGTGACCTGTCTATGGCCAAATCGTCAAGTTCGGATATCACTCGCCGCTGATGTTAGCCGTGGGCCCGGAATCGAACTGAGATGGGTGAAGTTCGTAGCGCAGCGCTCACTCGGTCTTTGGCTTCCCTGCCTCGCCGTTAAGACACGCTTAACGAGCCAGATGCTTGCTCATTTAATGAGCAAGCATCTGGAGGGACAGGTTCAGACACCACGTGTTGTTGTTAGTGGTGTTGTCCGTGGACGAGACTCGATCTTAGACAACCCCATGAGATTGCAGCGCGTGGCCACCGAGCTCCACATTGATGTGCACACACACCACACACACACCACACACACACACACACCACACACACACCCACACACACCCACACACACCACACACACACCACACACACACCACACACACACACACCACACACACACCCACACACACCACACACACACCACACCACACACCACACACCACACACACACCACACACCACACACCACACCACACACACACCACACACACACCACACACACACCACACACACACCACACACACACCACACACACACACCACACACACACCACACACGCGTGTGTACACGTGGGTACGAACCATCATCACACATTGGTTGCAAAAAACACCGCGCCACGTGCGTGCCTGTGTGTAGGGGGAGCGGTGGCGTAGCTGTTAGCGCACTGCGTTACGAAAACAGCTACCCGAGTTCGATTACCGCTCACGGCTAAATAACAGTTTGCGATTATCCGAACCGGTCCTAGAACCCCGCAAGGTCGGCTCAGCCTTGAAGTTAATTAGTACCTGGTGTGGTGTGCGTGTAAACAACCAGCATTGGGAAAGAGAGACAAAAGCGGCCGGGCGTGGTGATGACCACACAAACCGCTCCCTCGTGCTAAGTGCCGGCGTTGATAGGCGCTCGCTAACAGCACTTGCCCCAACACTGTGTTCAAGGCTACACGGGGCATCTTTGATGTTGTACATGTTTGTTGTGTGTATAGGTGTTTGTGTCTGTATGTAATTGTGTTTATATGCATCAAGTAGAGGTATACGAGCGTACACACACATATATGTGTGTGTGTTGTCCTGTTGTTTTAGTATTGTGCATATGCGTACATTCAAACGATGTACACGTGCGTGTCATCCTGTGCGCTTCAGCTATACGCGCGCCTTCAGATATGCGTAAACACACACACAAACGTACACACACTCGCCGTATATTTACCAGGATGCGAACTGGGGTCCTCCTCCTCCTCGGCTCCCCGTGATCGTCGACTCTTCGTCCCGTGCACGATGTGTGCAGGATGGGGGTGGGGGTGGCGGCGCGCAAGGAACAACCTCTCGGTCGGCAAGGAATGAGGTCTGTCAGCGATGGGCGAGAGCAATTCTCTATATTTCAGGTCGTGACAAGTCAAGGCTGGTCCGTCTGGAGAGAGGGCGCGCGTGCATCTGTGTTCCTGTGGTGTCGCGAGCGTGCGCCCTCTCGCGCGTGTGTAAGTGCGTGCGTGTGTGTAAGTGCGTGTACGGTTATAACAAGGCATTCACCCCACCCCACCAACCCCTCCATCCATCCTCCTCCACCCACCACTCACTTCACCCACCCCTCCATCCTCCACCACTCACCTCAGCCAGACCAACCGCCTCCTGTGTAATTGCCACTGTTCCGGATCGTCTGGCATAACCGGTTTTTGAAGGGGCGAGGCAGCGCTTGGCGGTGGCGCGTGTGGAGGCGTGTGCGTGTGTGCGGCGTGTAGATGCCCGCGTGCGCGCGCGTGTGTGTGGGAGCGGTGGTGTAGCGGTTAGCGCGAACCCAGCGACCCGAGTTCGATTACCGCTCACGACCAACACCAGTGAAGATTATCTGAACTGGTCCTGGGCCTCCTCTAGGTCGACTCAGCCTCAAATGAGTACCTGCTCCGGTGTGTAATAACATCGCCACTCGGGAGACAAAGGCGACCGGGTGTGGTGCTGGTCACCCACCCCTTCGTGTGCCGTACTGGCCGTCATAGGCATTCGCTAACAGCACTTGTCCCAACAGTCTGTTAAGGCTATACTGGGGATCTTTGTGTGTGTGTGTGTGAGCAAGGGAGCTGCATTGGCAAGGTGGCGAGTCACAGTTCTCTCAAGCGGTCTGACCAGAGCCAGAGAGAGTCACGGAGAGAGAGAGAGACGAGGATGGAGAAGATGGCTTAACTAACTCTTCCTATCAGCACCTCCGTGTATCAACAATCACACCAAGCGTCGTGTCTCTGTACAGGAGCACAATAACATTGACAGCTGACGATAATTCGTGTTCTGTCCACTGCTGGATAAAGGCCTCCCCCACGGACGCTGTCGCTGGCGCATAACAGATGACAATAACTGGAAGCCATGGAAGAGTCGCGCATTGACCCGCATGGTGCAATATGACCAAGCATCCAGCAGTGGAATTTGAAGGGTTTTCAGGGATCTGCCCGATGGACCTACTTACTCGTCGAGGCAGGGAATCCAAAGGCGAGCGAGTGCTGCGATACGAACCCGAGCACTGCGCTACCAACTTCAGCCTCCTGAGTTGAATTCCCGGCCACGGCTAACATCAGTGGCGAGTGACCTCGGAACCAGTCCCCGGTCCCATTTGCCTCTGTACTTACCCTCGAATGACCAACGTGGCCCGGTGCACCGCATCCAGGCGAGATGTCGCTGTGGCCACGGCGAATTCCGCAGTCACGTCCCACCTACTCCTGCGGTCTACTGCCAGCGACCCGACACATCGTGCAGCGACACATCGTCAGCGACACATCCACCCGCCGTGGTGAAGTATGGCCAAATATCCGCCCAGACTCGCAGGGCGGTGGCGACGAGGCCCTCCATCCGGCAGTGAATTTACAACAACAACAAAGCCCCCTCCGTGCATTTCATGAAGAAGGGCCGTTACCCGAAACGTCAGTTAAGGCCACACCGTGTTGTTGTTGAGGCTGCGCGTGTTGGGCGTCGTGGTGCTGGCTACGCTTGCGCGGCAATGACAACGCAGCAGCAGCAGCAGGACCAGCAAATACAGAATTCGTGATGTGTAACATCAAGTTGATTTGCTTAATCAGAACCACAACTCTCATACACAGAATCACAACTGTATTAGTGATACACTCGCAATAATAATAATGATTATTATATTGTGTCTGTGTGCTCCCTGTGTCTGTGTGTGATCCCTGTGTCTCTGTGTGTGTGCTCCCTGTGTCTGTGTGTGTGTGCTCCCTGTGTCTCTGTGTGTGTGCTCCCTGTGTCTCTGTGTGTGTGTGCTCCCTGTGTCTCTGTGTGTGTGCTCCCTGTGTCTGTGTGTGCTCCCTGTGTCTGTGTGTGTGTGCTCCCTGTGTCTCTGTGTGTGTGCTCCCTGTGTCTCTGTGTGTGTGCTCCCTGTGTCTGTGTGTGTGTGCTCCCTGTGTCTGTGTGTGCTCCCTGTGTCTGTGTGTGCTCCCTGTGTCTGTGTGTGTGCTCCCTGTGTCTCTGTGTGTGCTCCCTGTGTCTCTGTGTGTGCTCGCTGTGTCTGTGTGTGTGTGCTCCCTGTGTCTCTGTGTGTGCTCCCTGTGTCTGTGTGTGCTCCCTGTGTCTGTGTGTGTGTGTGCTCCCTGTGTCTGTGTGTGCTCCCTGTGTCTGTGTGTGTGTGCTCCCTGTGTGTATCTGTGTGTGCTCCCTGTGTCTGTGTGTGCTCCCTGTGTCTGTGTGCTCCCTGTGTCTGTGTGTGTGGTCCCTCTGTCTCTGTGTGTGTGCTCCCTGTGTCTGTGTGTGTGTGCTCCCTGTGTCTGTGTGTGTGTGTGCTCCCTGTGTCTCTGTGTGTACTCCCTGTGTGTGTGCTCCCTGTGTCTCTGTGTGCTCCCTGTGTGTGCTCCCTGTGTATGTGCTCCCTGTGTCTGTGTGTGTGTCTGTGTGTGTGTGCTCCCTGTGTGTATGTGTGTGTGATCCCTGTGTGTGTGTGCTCCCTGTGCGTGTGTGCTCCCTGTGTCTGTGTGCTCCCTGTTTCCGTGTGTTGTAACGAGTCCAGTAACGGCGCGCGTGGCGGTGGCGCTGCGGTTCGCACCACTGGCACGCGAGCCCGCCCCGAGCCCAGTTAAATTCCTGGCCGCGGATACCATCGGTGGCGAGTGAAGTCTGAGCCAGTCCTGTGTCACCCCTAGCTCGACTCGGCCTTCAATGTCTGAGCACGATGTGCCAGTGAGCTACACCGCCCCTCGTGCAGAGGTGCGACCTTACCAGGTGCTCGCTAGCAGCGCTCGCTCCAGCGGTCTAAATGAGGCAATTCATGGGGTCTGTGTGTGTGTGTGCATATAACACACGTGCGTGTGTGTACGTGTCGATGTATGTGTCTATGGCTATATGTATCTGTGCGTCTGTATGTATATGTATGTGTGCGTCTCGGTGTTTGTGTCTACAGTGAGGGAAAAAAGTATTTGATCCCCTGCTGATTTTGTACATTTGCCCACTGACAAAGAAATCAGTCTATAATTTTAATGGTAGGTTTATTTGAACAGTGAGAGACAGAATAACAACAAACAAATCCAGAAAAACGCATGTCAAAAATGTTATAAATTGATTTGCATTTTAATGAGGGAAATAAGTATTTGACCCCTCTGCAAAACATGACTTAGTACTTGGTGGCAAAACCCTTGTTGGCAATCACAGAGGTCAGACGTGTCTTGTAGTTGGCCACCAGGTTTGCACACATCTCAGGAGGGATTTTGTCCCACTCCTCTTTGCAGACCTTCTCCAAGTCATTAAGGTTTCGAGGCTGACGTTTGGCAACTCGAACCTTCAGCTCCCTCCACAGATTTTCTATGGGATTAAGGTCTGGAGACTGGCTAGGCCACTCCAGGACCTTAATGTGCTTTTTCTTGAGCCACTCCTTTGTTACCTTGACCGTGTGTTTTGGGTCATTGTCATCCTGGAATACCCATCCACGACCTATTTTCAATGCCCTGGCTGAGGGAAGGAGATTCTCACCCAAGATTTGATGGTACATGGCCCCGTCCATCGTCCATTTGATGCGGTGAAGTTGTCCTGTCCCCTTAGCAGAAAAACACCCACAAAGCATAATGTTTCCACCTCCATGTTTGACGGTGGGGATGGTGTTCTTGGGGTCATAGGCAGCATTCCTCCTCCTCCAAACACGGCAAGTTGAGTTGATGCCACAGAGCTCCATGTTGGTCTCATCTGACTACAACACTTTCACCCAGTTGTCCTCTGAATCATTCAGATGTTCATTGGCAAACTTCAGACGGGCATGTATATGTGCTTTCTTGAGCAGGGGACCTTGCGGGCGCTGCAGGATTTCAGTCCTTCACGGCGTAGTGTGTTACCAATTGTTTTCTTCGTGACTATGGTCCCAGCTGCCTTGAGATCATTGACAAGATCCTCCCGTGTAGTTCTGGGCTGATTCCTCACCGTTCTCATGATCATTGCAACTCCACGAGGTGAGATCTTGCATGAAGCCCCATGCCGAGGGAGATTGACAGATATTTTGTGTTTCTTCCATTTGCCAATAATCGCACCAACTGTTGTCACCTTCTCACCAAGCTGCTTGGCAATGGTCTTGTAGCCCATTCCAGCCTTGTGTAGGCCTACAATCTTGTCCCTGACATCCTTGGAGAGCTCTTTGGTCTTGGCCATGGTGGAGAGTTTGGAATCTGATTGATTGATTGCTTCTGTGGACAGGTGTCTTTTATACAGGTAACAAGCTGAGATTAGGAGCACTCCCTTTAAGAGTGTGCTCCTAATCTCAGCTCGTTACCTGTATAAAAGACACCTGGGAGCCAGAAATCTTTCTGATTGAGAGGGGGTCAAATACTTATTTCCCTCATTAAAATGCAAATCAATTTATAACATTTTTGACATGCGTTTTTCTGGATTTTTTTGTTGTTATTCTGTCTTTCACTGTTCAAATAAACCTACCATTAAAATTATAGACTGATCATTTCTTTGTCAGTGGGCAAACGTACAAAATCAGCTGGGGAACAAATACTTTTTTTCCCTCACTGTATGTGTGTCGATGCCTCTATGTGTGTCTATGTGTCTCCGTGTGTGTCTATGTGTGTCTATGTGTCTCTATGTGTGTCTATGTGTGCGTGCTGAGAGCTCCATCTGTCCCTGGGCTCTCGCCTTCACACCAGAGGAGTTGATGTGGCCAGGCTTCGTGTTTTATGAGCCGAGTTCGGTGAGGATGCGTGAAACGTCGAATGCGCAACCAACACACGACCACCGTTATTGAGCACAGCGCCCAAGCTCCACTCAGCGACTGAGAAAAAGACACAAAACACAGCGCTACTAAAAAACAAATAAAGATTACAAGAAAACAACACATTACACACTGTTACAAACACCCCGCAAAACAAGTACACAGATGTATAAAACCCACACGCAGCAAGGCAACATCACCTGACGCAGAGCAGCGCGGACAGAGACGCGAGACGCCAAGCGACGGGGCCGACCTGGAGGTTGTGGGTGGCTGAGCGGGCTTGACAAGTGAGCTGAGCACAGCGGCTCCCGTTAGGAAAGTTCCATCACGTGATGGTAATGACACGAGATGGGGAGAGCGCACACACAGGTAAAGACGAAGATCCCCCGTATAGCCTTAAATAGACTGTTGGGGCAAGTGCTGTTGGGGCGAGTGCTGTTGGGGCGAGTGCTGTTTACCGAGCGTTCCGTGGCCGTGCCTGTATCTGAGCTGTCATCGCGCCGGTGATTAATTTCAACAATCTGGAACTCTGTTCCCGAAATTATTCTGACAACGCCGCTCTTATTTCCCTTTGTTGTTGTGTCCTGTGGTGGGGAGCGGTGGCGCAGCGGTTAGCGCGCTGCGCTGCGCTACGCACCTGGCGCCCTCAGTTCGATTCACGCCCAACACCAGTGACCATTATCGGAACCGGTTCTGGGCCTCCCCTAGGTCGACTCAGCTTCAAATTAGCGGTGTGTAAACATCGCCATCGGGGAGACAAAGGCGTCCACGACGTGGTGCTGGCCACCCCTCATGTGCCGTGCCGGCCTTCATAGGTGCTCGCTAACAGCACTTGCCCAAAAAATATGTTTCGGCTATACGGGGAGTCTTTGCCTTGTGTGTGGCTTTAAATTAGCCAGCGCTGTCGAGTGTTGGTTCGGAGCAGGGCCGGATGAAGATTTTGTAGGCCCCTGGGCTACAGGTACTGTGAGCCCCCCAGTAATATTTTCAAAAGGAAAACAACGTTAAAGAAAATAAAATGTCTTTTTACAAGGCTAACAAAAATAACAGCATTCACAAATGCAATAACTTTTCACTTCATCTCTGGAGGCGCTCCAGCTGGTGGAGGCCCCTGGGCCCCTTAAAGCCCCCCGTGCTTTAATCCGGCCCTGGTTAGGAGTGTTGGTTAGGAGTGTTGGTTAGGAGTGTTGGTTAGGAGTGTTGGTTTGTTGGTTAGGAGTGTTGGTTTGTTGGTTAGGGGTGTTGGTTAGGAGTGTTGGTTTGTTGGTTAGGAGTGTTGGTTTGTTGGTTAGGGGTGTTGGTTAGGAGTTTTGGTTTGTTGGTTAGGAGTGTTGGTTTGTTGGTTAGGAGTGTTGGTTTGTTGGTTAGAAGTGTTGGTTAAGAGGAGTGTCGGTTAGAAGTGTTGGTTAGGAGTGTAGGTTAGGAGTGTTGGTTTGTTGGTTTGGAGGAGTGTCGGTTAGGAGTGTTGGTTTGTTGGTTAGGAGTGTTGGTTAGGAGTGTTGGTTTGTTGGTTAGGAGTGTTGGTTTGTTGGTTAGGGGTGTTGTTTAGGAGTGTTGGTTTGTTGGTTAGGAGTGTTGGTTTGTTGGTTAGGGGTGTTGTTTAGGAGTGTTGGTTTGTTGGTTAGGAGTGTTGGTTAGGAGTGTTGGTTTGTTGGTTAGGAGTGTTGGTTTGGAGGAGTGTCGGTTAGGAGTGTTGGTTAGGAGTGTAGGTTAGGAGTGTTGGTTTGTTGGTTTGGAGGAGTGTCGGTTAGGAGTGTTGGTTAGGAGTGTCGGTTAGGAGTGTAGGTTAGGAGTGTCGGTTAGGAGTGTTGGTTAGGAGTGTAGGTTAGGAGTGTTGGTTTGTTGGTTTGGAGGAGTGTCCGTTAGGAGTGTTGGTTAGGAGTGTCGGTTAGGAGTGTAGGTTAGGAGTGTCGGTTAGGAGTGTTGGTTAGGAGTGTGGTAAGG